ATTATACTAGAAGAAAATTCGTTCACTCAAAGTCCTATATACTTGATATATATATTTGACTGCGACCAAACTAGAGGCTTGAGAAAGCCATATATTTTAAATATCATATGCATATATAGTATTCATATCAAGGTCAGATTATTAGGGTTAATATGGATTTAAGGCTTGGCGATCATCATAGCCGAAGCTATACCTTTACTATTAGGGTACCTTTCATTTCGTTTGAAGAAGCGAGTAAAAGCGATTCGAATGTTTGTCTTACCTTGAGTCGAAGAGGTATTGCTTCAGAACTGTGATTAGATTTGTGCGATAAAGTCCTCGGTTCATCGTCCCATGACCCCGATGAATCCTTGCTGAGCATTCGCTGCCATGTGATGGACATCGTCAGGGCTGGATACCATGCTTTACGATAATTAACCAAGCACAAAGACAGGGAAGATCTGTAGAAAAACTGGTTTTCGAAAAGGAAAGTGGCCGGCTGCGATTCTACTTTTAGTGTTGGTTGGACCTCGTTTTCGCAACTTCCCAGTCAAATGTTTGGGAGTGTACCAAGTCACTGGTCCGATGATGATCATTATTAATACTATGGCAGAGAAGAGACAGAGACAGGACTAGGTACGTTCCACAAGGCCCCCCTGACGCTCCGACCAAGTTGCGAAAACGAGATCGAACTAACATTATAAAGCTAAAGGAGGCTGCGACCAAGCAGAAGGCCACATCCTCTTGGTCTCCATATTTACTATCTAGTTATAACCTAACTTTGTCCAGTTTATGAGGCATCTCATGATTTGATTGGCTATCCAGTGCTTTTCTTACATGCTACCGTAAAGTGAATTGATTGTAGATTAAGCGTTAAAGGGATGCAATTGTTACCGAAAAGCTACATCCTTTCTTAAAACACTAATATTTTGATCCTGAAATGTGATTGCGTTCCATTGCATGTGTCTTGTGTCTATACAATACTCGTGAGATGTACGGGGTGTGAGAGTGAAAACCAGGTTTGAAGATAATCAAACCTCCTCCTGCTCGGCGATACTTGCTGTTCTTTCCCCCCCTCTCTCTAATCATATCCAGTAATCACAAGTAATTTATGCTTAGTTTACTACGCCCATTCCCTATATTCAGGGTGTTAACTGTTTCATTGATTTCTAATTATTTACTAATCCCCGGATTTCCGGTATTGTCTCCATGTCTTGCCAAACATTTGGCTTTATACTAGTCTATCTGGTCTCACCTCTTTAAATAAAATTAAAGGTCCTTCTACCTACCATGCTTACCGCTTATTAAAATAATTATTTTGAATTATTTCATTATCAAATGTAGCCAATCTTTTGGCTGATCCTCAACCTTCATCTGACACGAGCTCTTTGAGCTCCTTTGGACTGGATCCCGTAGTTTCTTCTACATTCACCTTGTCCTCGGTTCCTACGTCCAAATCTTCCTCCTCAATTCGCAGTGACAATCTAGTCTCTATTGGTGCGACCTACTCTGTCTCTGGGGGGGCTGCCACTCGTTCCTCGACAATCGGCCCTTCGGCTGGCACTGAGTTCGTACCCCATGTGGCGATCAGCCATACCTCTGTTCAGCGCACTTCACCATCACCTCCTCCTTCACTTTCTCCTTCACTTGGAAAGCCGGACCGTTCTTCACTAACAGCGCCATGTTTGAATCAAAGTCTGACTGCCAGGCTTGATGAACGTGTGCTCAGACAGCTGGCCCGGCTACATTCAGCTTTCGAGGTTCATGCTTTAGCCCGTCTAGCTGAAGCTCTTCCCAGCCGTCGTCTTCAACTTGTATTTCTCATCAATAACTATGATCTCGTTGCTACTGTAATCACAGTAAGCTCATTATATTCTCTGAGCTAGAGAATTTACCTCTCCAGCTATCCTATACTTTCCACCTAATAACAATGCTTCTTTGATTCGAACCTCTAAACCATCCCACCTTGTTTTATACTTAGCGTAGCGTTGTTCACTACCATTTAACCCTCTTGTTGATAACTTTCCTTATAAGTAAAGGTTTATTATGAATTGACTAGTTTGGATTGAATGTATGCCGCTCACGTATCTTACGTTCATTCCACTGATCGACTCGATTACATAGCAAACTCGAGTACCGTAAGACTTGCTTGATTATAATTTT